AGCAATTCCTATTGACAGACACTGTACAACCTAACAAATATTATCCAAATAACTACATCTGATAATGATTATTGTATCAGTTGGATATGGGTATGTAAACATGATACATACATATGCTCTTCACACATATTTAACCATGTTAGCCAAGCTTAAATGCTCACTAGATAAAATATCTCATTCATTGTGTGAATATGTCCATATGGTTTGTATATAACATGAGCATTCTTCCTTACACTGACATCCGTTATTTACTGTACATGCCCAAGAAACACAAAACATAATTTTAAAGTAGTTTTTAGTTTTACACTTTTCACTGAAAATAGTGTCTTCAGATGCATCTCTTAATAAAAACGCCACTTAAAAATTCATTTAGAAAGTAACTATTATAAGCTTCTCTGCATGCAATTTACATTCCAATCCCAGCTACAAAACTCTACATACTGAAAAGAACTAATTTAACTGCTCCTAAATTAACTTTTGAGTATCGTTCAAGCACACCCTATGGATTCTCCTCTGCAAGTAAAATTAAGAAGTTCCTTAATAAATTCTTCCAGAACTAATAAAAGAACTTCACAAAAGAGAAAAACACTAAAAAAAATTAAGACATGAGAAACCTCTACATAGATGTTTTGATAAATAAAGGACAATAATTCATGTCCAAAAGCAACATGTTGAATGGGTTTCTTATGAAATAATAATGATAAAGCTGTCATATCATAGAATTATTTTATCTTAAGAAAGTATGTGTATGTGTATGCATATGTGGGTGTGGGTGGGTATTATAATTAAAAGGCATCAATGCAATAATATCTGAAAAATGGTTACCTATATGAATTCAAAAGGAGCTTATTATGTAGACTAAAGGAAAACATTGTATTCAGAGGGACTAAAAAAACTTTAGGAATTTGAGCCCCTCCACATATTATTGTACTGTAATTCTCAGCATTTCCAAAACCTTCCACACAGGCTGGAGCTTCTAGGAATTGTGTGAAAACATCTTTAGAGGCTTAAGTTATTTATCATGAAGTAGCAAGGAGGAAGCATGGGGTATCTGTCAGCAACTCCCACATCAGTGTGCTAGACTTGTTCCTGGAATCTCAGTTCTTACACTTCCTTTTGGGAGAAAACTCGACAAGCATTGTTTAATCTGTGGAGTCCTTGGTGCTCTCTCAACTTGATTGTTTTCTTGCAGATGTTAGTTGCCTGAACTGATTGCATATAACTGATAGGCAGTTTTGTTCTTCTTTGGGTGTTACACTGCTTAATAAGCCATGTTTACTAATGCTGATCAGAAATAAAGTTCCCAAGATCCAGACAGCTCTAGGCTGTTGATTCCTGGTGTCCAAAGGCATTAGAGCTTCACAACTAATGCCATACAAAATGCAAAATTCGTATTATTCATGTGGAAAAGGATGAAAGATAATTTGTAGTGTGTACTGGCCAGAATGTTTGGATTAGGGCAGTATTTAAATCTTGTAAAATAAAGCATTACAGTTTTTAACAATGATGAAGAATACCAAAATGGCAGAGAGCTGACTCCCATTGGCACAGAGATATCATATTAAATCTTTCAAATTAAGGAATCAACTGAGAGCCTTTCTCAAAATATTTCTAATGTGGCATTATTTGACCCCACTGTACCCATTTGTTAAAAAAACACATATTCCTTCTTTTTTTGCCTTTCATTTATTCAATTAGACACATTTGTTATTTTATCAAGAAAAGCAGTAGAAGTGAAATGTTATTTTGCAAATATTGTACCTGCAGCTGCAAGAAAGCTGGCTACTTCTTTTTTGCCAAAGAAAAAATTGTTTCTGAAAATGAAATTACCATTTCAAATAACTTTTATTAAGCTATATCAGGAGCAAGGTTTCATCTTAACATCTTGCATCCTACAGAAAAATTACCACACAAATGAATAGTTATGAATGATGTTTCCAAAGCTTAGAACAGCATATGCAAAACACTCTTCTCTCTCATTATTTTCTCAATTTTTTATTTTTCCTCTGATTCAAATTTAACACAAACATGTGTATTTCTAAAATGCCTGTCAAGCCAAAAGGAAATTTAGCACCACATGAAACAAACAAAAGCCTTGAAGTTATGAAATAGAATACAGATATTTCTTTTTGTAAGATAAAAATATATTCCAAACTCTGAAGGAGAAAAGAAAGATCTTTTTTGTGGTTGATAGAAAATAAAAAAATGAGTTTGTAGTAAAAAAATGATTTATTATTATCAATTTATTTTCCGTCCATCTCACAGTTCAAAGTGATTCTTAAAAAAGAATCTCCTATAGAAAAAGAGAAGAGTGTAAGACTACACAGAAGTTCAAGGCAATTAATAAAACATTTTGGATGAATCAGACAGATTTATTCAGTTGATTATATTTAAAATAAGTTTTGGTTTTCCTTTTGAAGCTAGCAATCTAGAGCCCAATAATCCTTCTAACTAGCCCTATTCGTAAGCAAAAACACTATCCAAGAACTGGAGCTTATTTTTCATTCTGGAATTCATCAACTGCTAGCTAATTCCTATTACTGCTAAGTATTAACTTAGTTTATCTCCTTGCCTTTCTATTTGAAGTACATAATGTGGAGGAGGAGTCTGGCGTGTAGCAGAAAAATCTTGCCATGGTCAAAAATTTAACAGGTTCATCCAGGGGCAGGTTTTAAACTTTTATTGCAGTTACAAGCAATTGACAATTATTTCCTGAGCAGAAATCAAGGTTTTCATTTCACTTTTATGCTGTAAGCTGCCCAGAGTCATTTGACATGAGACGGGTGCCAAATAAACAAACAAACAAACAAACAAAAATTTCAAAGTCCTACATTGCATCCAAGCCTGGGAACACACTTATCAAGAGTTGTATTGTTCTTCCATTTATTTCGCCTGCTTTCAAACAACAGAGTTAACACCTATATTTTCAATCAGGACTGTACATTGTTTTACAATTATTTTAATGTTCACTCTTCCATTTTATTACTTCTCAATTATTCTCTATTATATTTTGGTGCTGTCAGTTGCCTTGTCCTAATAGATACAAAACTTTTCATAAATTAAATAAATCAGGAAACAAACTTATTTTTATGCTATTTTTCTACCAAAAGCATTGTAAGCAACATAAAAATAATCTTTTCTGCTAATCTTAACAGAAGTCAATTTAGGACTATATAAAATATTAAGTATATGGGGAAACAGATACTTTCAAATTATTCTAAGTGAACTACTGATGATGGTCAGAAATTTGGCTCTGTGAAGTGAGGTTTAATGAAGAGGTAACAAAACAGACAGATTTTCAGAACCTAATTATTAATCCTATAGGGAAGTGGATTCTCCAAGAAAAAGAGGCCACATGGCTTTTACTAATGACTGAGAACTAATATCCAAGCACTGTACATGGAGTTGGAAAGCTGAGCCACTGACATCTTTCAATAATCCAGGAAAGTATGAACACTAAGAAAGTTAGAACTTAGAGTACTGTACAAGCTAGTCAAAACAGACAGAGTACAGGAATAAATTCTACACTCTTTAGCTGAAAACTGAGAAGTGATAGGTGCTGTTAATACGAAAGCAAGATCCCTATGCCAGATTATTTAGATTTTTTAAAGTACGTATTTTATCTCAGGCTGATCTCTGCATTATTTTACATCAGAATTGCTCATAAACCCATAAAGATGTAAGAGAAGAGTCACTGGATTAGATTTTGTGTTTAAATAGTAATTTCAGAAGAATAGTTGCAATGTTGCATCTTAATGATCTATAAGCCCAGCATTCTGCAGGGTTACAGATTTAATTACTGCTTCTGAACCTGGAATTCTTTAGACCTATCTCAGAATCAATGACAAGAGAATAGTAAAATTTAGAATGCGATTATGTTATCATGCGCTGTGCGTTCTGAAAAAACAATGGGAGAAATGGAGTGACAATTATTTAATGCAGCCTTCACAAAGTTGTGCCCTCCAAAATTATCAGAAGTACAACTCTAAGAATTTTCAGGCTTGGTGGCTAATTTATGGGATCCTGAGAATTACATTTCCAGCCTTTCTGGGTGGCACAAGCTGCTCTAATATTTATTACAGTTTAAGAAATATTAAATAAAATAAATAAAATAAAATAGAAACTCTTCTTCAAAAGTTTGTCTACTTTCATAAAGTTGAGTAAAATTCAAAATAGTCTTCAGTAACTCTTCCTTAACCTGCAGAGTACCCATTATCCAAATAGAGATAGATGTAAATTCTTCCTGGCAACCCAGCTGCCATTCAAATGTCAGAACAGACAGGAAATAATTTTACATAGTTAGCTTGCTCAGAACCTTCCTCCAGTTATAAAAATAGCACCAATAATATAGCAGTTTGATGCAATCTGACAGAAATGCCAACATACCCTTCACATGCTTTCATACTCTTCTATCTGCTCTCTGCAATTTCTGAAAATCAGTTGTTGTAAGTGGTATAAGCATTATATTTAATTATATATCCTTTTCGTATTATTTTTGTCCCTGCCTTAAATCATATTTCATGCACGAAAGTTGTAGCTTCAGTTTATAAAACTTTAGTGCACAAAAATCAGTTATATTAATATAATATCCTAGGATGCTGAGCACAACGAAGAGATATACTGTGTTGTTATTATTATACAGTGGTAACAAGGCATATGGATGACTCCATAGATTGCCATCCCCTAATTGTTTTTCAGGCAAGCCTGGAACTGTCAGTGGTATCAGCTGCTTAAGCAAAATTGTTTAAAAGAGTTGAAGATAAAACTCTGATGCTCTGAATTGCATAATGTTTTAGAGAAAACACTTCAACTCAGAGAGCATTTCATTAGATGAATTTATGCTTTCCATCCTCCTTAAGTTTACTTAATTAAGAGCAAATTACGACAGCACATTGCTTGCAGCTACCATTTCATAATTAAATATAAGCAAATGGAAGCTCAGGTAGGGAAATAAATGCTTTGAATGGTTATACAAAAAGGAGGAGAATGGCGCCATTTACCTCATGGATGAGAGCAATAAACATCTGGTGGAAGTTTCGCCCCCTGCTGGCTAAAAACCGATTGATAGGTTTTCCATCTTTGCCCACATGGATTGGAAGATCATAACTTAGTAACATGCCAGCTGAAAAAAGTGTTTATATATGCGTTAAATTGCTGATAAATGTTCCAAAAACATATGTTAACATTATTGGAAAATTACATAAAGCTGTCATTCAGAAAAGTTGAAAACTGGGATTTCAGAAAAAAAAATTGGTAATTATTTCTTAAAGGCCAGGGGGAAGATGCAAATTACCGATTTTCTTTTCAGTGTATCATTTACCAAAGCACCAACAGATCGTGGCCTAGTCTACCTAATTAGCTTAGTATGGAGAGCAGAATTTCTTTTTCTTCTTTTCAAGGTGTAGAAGAGGGTCAAGACTCACTTTTCTTATAGCAAATTAATTCTAGAATGCATCCATGAATGGACTTGGAAACCCGATCTATATCAAGTCAACATGGGCACAAGAGGAAAGCTTGATCATCTCCCAAAGATATTTTGTTACAAAAAAAATTACCTATTATCTACCTATTCTCATGAACCATGTTGCTTTTTTACAACCTTCACTAGATGCCATTGGAATATTTAATAATTTGTCCATTGGATAATACATGGCCAGGATGAAGAGCCAGGTCTTCAGCACTCTTTTAAATAACAGCAGAGTGGCAGGGTCATCTCGATCTCAGGGGAAACTTCATTCCAGAGGGCAACTGCTACTACAGAGAAGTACTGTATGCTTCCAGGGTCCTAAAAGATGACATTATTTAATTTAATTTAATCTATCCAGAGCGTGCCAACCCTATAGGATTAAATTGGCTAGCCGGTCCCTCAAGTAACCAAATCCTATAAGCTTTATAGGTAACAAACTAGAAGATTATTTTGGGTGGCACTTCAACTGTAGAATGCTTTACGTACAATATGTTTTAAGGCTTTTAAGCTACTCAAATACCTTACTTTTCAGGCTTTTAAAATTTTGCTGTGGCTTTTTAAAATCCCCGCTCTTAGTAATCAGAGCATTGGACTAGGAATACTTGGTAGACAGCGTTACTGGGGGTGATTGTGCCCTGTTCCTTATTTTTTTTAAAAAAAAAGTGATGTAAACGCAAGGCATACATGGTATTTATTCTGAATGTCAAGTTATGCCAATTGTGACATTTAAATGTTTTAAATTTACAAATGCCTCTCTGAGTGACATAAAAATAAAGTCATTAGGAAAACAAAAGGGGCATTGCAAGAATCTTTACCATATAAAGGTCCACAGGGAAACTTACCTGCAAGGCCAGGTTTCAGTCCGGGCTGCTTGTTCCTTTCATGCATTTTCAGCATAAAGTTTGGAACACTTGATAGTGTCTTCCCATGGTCTGAACGCACAGCATTACCTCTCAGTGCGGAATGGTATATTCCACGAGGCATGTTAGCCATCTCTTCTTTCACAAGTGATGCTGCAAACTCTTCGAAAGCTGAAGGAGGGGGGGAGGGGAAGAAGTGAAAAGGCAGTGAGGGGAAAGAAAGAAAACAAAAGGTGATTGACTGGAGAAACCAGAACCACCCAACCAAAGCAGAACCACGACGATTATCTGGGAATGTTATATTGAAATAAGTGGTAACTCCATATTCAACCGCAGCTTCAAGGTCATGGTTTCTGTAGCTCCTAAGCAAGACTTCATATTCACCTCTCACTCAAAATGTCACCTCAGGAAGCCTTCAATAAATGGTGTCAGATGTTCCAGCTCAGGAACAAAAACAAACAGCCCAAAATGTCTTATATGTTGATCAATGGACCCTTTGTCTGGACCATACGAACGAGGTCTCCAGTTTGAAACAACACAAGTGACTTTTACCTTACATCAGCCAAAAAAAATCCCAGCCTAGAGCTACACCATGCTTGATGTGATTTAAAATAAAACAATTCCAAGACAGATACTGAAAAATAAATAGATGCAACACGGTTAGGTTGATCCAGGATAGCAAAGCTGGGGGCTTGATGGTACGTTAACTGCTGAAATTTTAAACAATTGTTATAACTGGGAAACTGAAATGCAAGGGCAAACGAAGTCAGAGGGACTACAGCAGGTCATTGCTTCATCAATAGGCAAAGTAAGGCAACATTTGTTAGGTTTAACAATCTATACGTGTTTTTTTATTATATAATGAGAAATTACAATTTTTCCCTCAAAGGGAAACCTATAAACAACTGTTTCTCATTAGCTGGGTGGATCCGTTGCACAGTTTTCTTAAAACAGATACAGTGCTCTGTATCTTATAAACTGGAGCTAGTATTGACTGAAAACTTATTCATATACTCATTCCTGCAAGCCAGACATACACAAAGTGTCACAAATCAGTTAACAAAATCCAGTCAGACTCTGATATGCCTTGGCGTTTTATCCTCCAATCTTTTCTTATTCCATCTATTCTCCTGAACATTACCCATTCTCCCACCCCTCTTCCTGCCTGTTGTTTGTGTTAATAACAGCCAGAGGGAAGCCTCGGAAAAAGCAGTCCATTATTTATAGGAAGACGAGGACAAGTTTTCAAATCTACTAGCAGATCAAAAAAATTAACAAAACCATAAAACTAAATCTATGTAAGAATAGATCTATTTAAGAATTCTATTTAAGAATACTTTGGTTATTTCTTGCCATTTTTTTTTCATACTGCCGAAACAGGATTTGTCAAACATTCCTTTGAGGGGCACTACTTGCCCGTTAACTACATATTTTTGGACAACTGACACAGATTCATATAAAACAATTTAATAGTAGGAGCCTTTCTTTATCTACATAAAGGAACAGAGGAAAAAAAACTCCTTATCCAGACATTCCAATGGACATTACTTAGAAATGTTATCCAGAATAATTTCTTTTATAACTATTTAAGCCAAACTATTTAGCATTCCTCTTTTTTACTGCAAATACCAACAGCTCCTCTGTTAACACCACAGATGTTTTATTTCTTATAGTAAACTTTTGGAATTCTTTATTTAATGTTAAGATCAGGTTGATAAATGACACCAAGGTTAGGATTATTGTTAGGAATTCTATTGGCTAAATATTGTCTTGAACACTTGGTACCTTTTTCCGCACACATACAAATATAAGCACATTCATCACACACAGGTTAGAATCAGCTGAAAACCAGGCCCTGAGATGGACCACGACAATATTTATATTAGATTCGGTTCCAGATTCACAAGTTGCGGCTGTGTTTTTCCCATAAGAGAATGAAGTTTCCCTTTAAGACCCTTGCTGCAATTCTGCTGTGCATGTAAATAAAAACTTATTAGGAATACATGTTTGTGCTTGATTTCTAAACAACTGGAAACAAAAGTTAAAGATCCATCTTAAGCTTCCACCCTAACTCTATTTCAATTCACTCATGAAACATCAAACCTGAATTGAGCTTATTGCCTCCTTCAACTCTATGTCCCATTTCCAGCTCGCCAACTTTATAAAACAAATACCTCTGCAAGCTGATAAGGGGTATGTGTGAAGATGATTACTGCTTGGACCTCATTTCTTCACAGCATGATTGCTTGGTATATTTTAGTCATACAAGTGGTCCTCGACTTACAACCACAACTGAGCCCAAAATTTCTATTGCTAAGCGAGACAGTTGTTAAGTGAATTTTGCTCAACATTACGACCTTTCTTGCCACAGTTGTTAAGTGAATCACTACAACTGTTAATTAGTAACATGGTTGTTAAGCGAATCTGGCTTCCCCACTGAATTTGCTTGTCAGAAGGTCACAAAAGGTGATCACATGACCCTGGGATACTGCAACAGTCATAAATATCAGTCGGTTGCTAAGTGTCTGAATTTTGATCGTAAGTGAGAGAAATGGTCCTAAGTCATTTTTTTCAGTGCCGTTGTAACTCTGAACAGTCACTAAAAGCGCTGTTTTCAAACTGACCTTTTAGAAACCATTTTAAAAAACGATGTGTTTGATATTATGAAGTTTTAAAACAACTTTATTATACAAGTAAATTATCATCTTTTATGAATATGCTGTACCTTGTAAGACAGGAAGAGGAGTGAGCAACAACAATTTGATATATGAGTGGCCAGGTACAGATAAATCTGGTTCTTCTTCTTCCTCCCCCTCCTCTTCCTCTATGTCCATTTTTTGTTGATCCAATTCTGGTCTTGCCTGTATGCATGATAAACCATGAAAAAAAAGAGAGCATGCAATCGGCTGTACAGAATCGAACTTCAAAAACTGAAAACAAGTTTCCCTAAGTCAGCTGAAAGGAGAGGCAACTAAACTTCAGCCTTCCTCAGTTTGATGCTTTTAAATATGATAAACTAGAGCTCACATCACTCCCAGACTTCATGGTTATTGGAGAGGTTGTTATAGATTTGGAGACACGAAATACTGTATGTCTTTTTTATTCTGTTGTCATAACATCAATACAAAGGGTATTATTAAAAAAAATTATAAGCCGTTTCATATACAAAGTAATACAAATTCATAACTTTTTCCACAGGAGTTTGATGAACACAGATATTAAAGAAGATTGTGGCAATAATTTTAAAGACCTGGTATTGGGTTAGAGTGGTTGGATCCCCTTGTGAGCAACTGATAATTTTGTATGGTTGATCAATGTTGGCATCTTTTTACATTATGTCCTTTTCATAAGATTCCATGCTATTCTTTTGCTTTTATGCTCTGAGCCGCCTAAAGTCAATTGGAGTCAAGTGGCCCTAAGTCAAATTGAATAAAATAAATATTGAGGAAAATGTGGGCAAGAGGATGGAAAGGCAGTGTTTGTCTCTGTTATCTTCATTGTTCCATAGGGAACCCTAACACTCACTAAGACTAAGATTAAAATTAAGACTAAGATTCCAAGGAGTACAAGAGTACCCAGGAACATTTTTAAAGCTAAAAATGATGTACAATATATTTAGGGTCATTCACATTCATATTATAAACAGAAACCCACCGTACAGGCAGTTGAATATTTATAACCCTCATAATGGGATAATACCATCGGCATACCTGTGGTTATCAGGTTAGAGTTGCAAGGTTTATTTTTATTTTATCGTCATGCCTGTGTTAACTTTTACCAGAATCACCTTTAGAGTTCCTTTATGGAAATGTTTATTTTACGCAGTTGCATACTACATTTTAAACCACAAAACCATGTAAATTAGAGGACCCTATAAACAGAACATCCATAAATTTGTAATATTGTTTACTATTCCAGTTAGTCCTTTAACTTATTGCTGAATTTTATTATGTGACAATTTTAATACTACTATTAACCCAACATATAGGCATTTTTCTATATTAACTAATACTGTACCTTGTTATGTTACATTACATAAAATCAGTATTAATATTATTATAAAAGGCTCTTTGCTTTCAAACTCCCACTTGCAACAGGTGGAAGGATGTGAGTCCAGGCAACTGGAATATACTGTAATACAGGAGATGGAGTAGCAATTATAGAGCCTTTTCCTATTAAGATCAGATGAATTACTGAATGTCCAAGCAAGGATTGGACACTCTTTCCACACTGTTTTGTATTCCTAATGATTACAACACTCACCCATAATTAAAGTAAGAAAGATCTACCTGTTCAGGAAGATGGAGGATGGTGTATTCTTCAGAACGAAATTCAGAGAGAGATTTATATGCAGAGATAGCTACAAGAGAATCCTAAAGAAAAATATTGCCATCACATCACTGCAAATAAGGATGGATAAGGAAAAAAATACTGTATATTATATATAATACTGTATATTATATATTATGTTAAATGTAGTATTGATTTTCCAAGTGGAGAATGTAGGCCACGTTCTAAATTGTCTTGAACCTTGTGGCTAAAAGCAAATAGTGCACATTAAATATCACATCACCCAAAATTACTGAACAAACCTATTTTTTTACAGCACATAAGTTGTATTATTCTGCAGTAGTTATACTATAGTAAGACTTTGGAGTAAACATCTGAGATATTATTTAATGGTATGATTAAAAATGTCAAAATATAAATTGACTGCTTTATATCCTGACTGTAAAATGTTTTAGAAATAAAGAAGGGTGCCTTGCCTGTTACATGTCATACCACCACACAGTTCATTTACTATGATTTTACTACTCAAGACCTCTCTGTGGTCTTGACGATATGTGGGGGTGTTTATCAATGCCATTGATCAATCATAACTGGGCATAAAATAAATAATTAGGAAGATATGCAGTGCTTGTAGAAAAAAAGATTTTCTTTGTCACATATCCACTATTACAATATATTATCAAAAAAATGTAGGATTGGACAGAGAAACTAGGTGCTTAATGCAACGCAGAAAATATTTATGCAGGGCCAGTATTTGGCCAAAGCCAGTTCATTTTCTAGTATCTTACCTTGCTTTGTGTGTGGCTCCATAGGAAACTGACAACTTGAGCTTTAAATTTCTGTAACATCAAATGGGGGAGAGAGAACAAAATCCAATTCAGAAAGGTTCTTTTTATCAAGAAACATGATAGAAAACTGAGGTAAATAACACATCATAGAATAAACCAAGATAGGAATTTATGGATTAGCAGTTTATTTGAGGTAGTAACAAGGGAATAGTATTTCTAAGCGGCCACTGGAGCCTAATTTAAAATAACAAGAAAGGTTTTGGCAATTTACCTGGCTCCAAAGTGAAGACTAATAGTCCTTATTATACTTACTGAGAAAATTTCAAAGGTCAAAAATTATATTCAAGATCCCATATTCAATGATGTATAATAAAAATGCAAAGCACCATTTCAGGTTGGGAGGGAGGGGTTGACCTTTAAGTACTCTTAAAGAGGCAATTCAAAAAACATTTTCAACGTTACAATTTCAGCCCTGTAAACAGATTTAAATGCTTTTAGAAGCATAGAAGTTACCTATTAAAACATTCTGCTCAGTCTTTCGTTGACAGAATAATTATATTAAATATATGCAACTGCATGTGCAATACGAATAAAAGATACAGCCAAATGACCCTAACAGAACCACCTTTCTGCTCATTAGAGCAAATGGAGGGGGGATAGGGAAAATATAGCACTAGAATTTATTCAATATTTAACTGGATTTTTACCAAGCTCTTCGGAATGTACGTTTATGGAGTATTATAAGATAGGGGTCCCCCAACCTTTTTGGTTCTACGGACCGGCGCCGGCGGCTTCCACGGTGAAGGGGAATGGTTTCACGCATGCAACCTAAATTCTGTGCGTGCACAAATGAAATTCCGTGTGCTTGCCCGCCACTTCAGCAGCCTGGTTCCCAATAGGGCACAGCCCAGTAGCAGGCCACAGCCCGGAGATATGGGGACTCCTGATATAAGAGATTGCAATGTAAAGTAGCTGATCCAGGACCCAATGAACTTCAATATAAGGATGTAATCATCCTATTTGCTCAGCTTTAAGATAATTTATTTACATCGTGACAAAACAAAACAAATTGCAGCTTAACTCTATATAGGTAGGCCTCAACTTACAATCGTTCATTTAGTGACCATTTTAAGTTACAGCAGTACTGAAAAAGTGACATGACTGTTTTTCACACGACCGTTAGGATGTTTGGTAACAGGCATGTATTTAGGATGGTTGCAGGGTCCTGGGATTATGTGATCCTATTTTGCAACCTTCTGACAAACAAAGTCAACGGGGAAGCCAGATTCACTTATTAACCAGGTTACTAACTTAACAACTGCAGTGATTCACTTAACAACTGTGGCAAGAAAAGTCATAAATTGGGAAAAAGTTATTTAACAGTCTTGTTTAGCAACAGAAATGTTGGACTCAATTGTGGTTGTAAGTTGAGGATTATCTGTATATAGGTTATGTTCATAGACTAGGAAAACTACCCTGATTTTATAATAGTTAATTCAATTTAAATATCTACCTATGAGACAGTTGCTATTTAAAAAGTCAAATTTTATATAGGCGTCTAAAATGGAATTTGTCTTTTTCATAACTCTTTCACATTAGATTGGCATTTTATGAAATAAATTGAATACCTTACTGCCACTTTTACAAGATTTGGTTCAATTGTAAAGCATTAGTACAATTTTGCTCATTTACTTTAAAAAATGCAGGCAGGAGAAATGCAGAAAAGCATCACCCAAATGATTACAGTGTTGTACAAATTCCCCAGTTACAAAAGGTTAAATTATTTGGAGGTTTTCACCACCTCAAGAAGGAAATAGCATGCATAGCAAAATGAACATTTGGAATCTGTTAGACATTTAACAGTCAAATTCGTACAGAATACAGTTATCCACCTAGCTACTTGCAGATTATTTATAAAATGCAGTATGCTTTTGAATACTAGTTGCTAGGCAACATAAGGAGAGAGTGCTAATACATTCATATTGCGTCTATGAAAGTATCTAGGATGGCTTCTTTAGAATAAAATGCTGAGCTAGATAAGCTTTTGGTCTAATCTGGCGTAGTTTATTTACTTGTGGCAAACAAAACTATTTAAAATTAAAGTAATTTTCAACTAGTAAATATATTCCAGCCAATGAGAAAACTAAGGGCAAATGCCTATTTAGACTGATTCTTTCTAAAAATGATTCCTTTTTAATAACTTATTAAGAAATCCTCAATAGTTCCACGAAAGTGCCAGACTTTCAATTTTAACAAAATGATCATAAAAACCTTCAGCTCGTCACAGTCCATTCTAGTTTTAATCACTACTCAGCCATGAAATGATAGCAGATACAATAATAATAATAATAATAATAATAATAATAATAATAATAATAATAATAATAATAATAATAATAATAATAATAATAATAATAATAAAGTTGGAAGGGACCTTGGAGGTCATCTAGTCCAACCCTCTGCTCAGGCAGGAAACCCTATACCATTTTGGACAAATGGCTGTCCAGTTTCTTCTTAAAAACTTCCAGTATTGGCGCATTCACCACTTCTGGAGGCAGGTCGTTCCACTGGTTAATTGTTCTAACTGTCAGGAAGTTTCTCCTTAGTTCTAGGTTGCTTCTCTCTTTGGTTAGTTTCCACCCGTTGCTTCTTGTCCTGCCTTCAGGCGCTTTGGAAAATAGCTTGACTCCCTCTTCTTTGTGGCAGCCTCTGAGATATTGGAACACTGCTATCATGTCCCCCCTCGTCCTTCTCTTCGTTAAACTAGACATACCCAATTCCAGCAACCGTTTTAGCCTCCAGTCCCCTAATCATCTTTGTTGCTCTTCTCTGTACTCTTTCTAGAGTCTCAACATCTTTTTTACATCGTGGTGACCAAAACTGGATACAGTATTCCAAGTGTGGCCTTACCAAGGCATTGTAAAGTGGTATTAATACTTCACATGATCTTGATTTTATCAAGGTACTCCTTGACTTACAACAGTTTGTTTAGTGACCAAAGTTACAACAGCACTGAAAAAGTGTCCTATGACTATTTTTCATACTTATGACCATTGCAGCATCCCCATGGTCATGTGATCAAAATTTAGACACTTGGCAACTGGCTTATATTTACGACAGTTGCAGCGTCCCAAGGTCATGTGATCCCCTTTTGCGACCTTCTGACAAGCAAAGTCAATGGGGAAGTCAGATTCTCTTAACAACCATGTTACTAACTTAGCAACTGCAGTGGTTCACTGTGGAAAAAAAATGTGTTAAAAAATTTGGGGCAAAACTCACTTAGCAACAGAAATTTTGGGCTCAATTGTGGTCGTAAATCGAGGATACCTGTAAACATTAGCTCTGGCCCGGAGTAGTTTCTGCGATTGGTCTGACCCCATTCTCAACTCTCCAATGTATGTAATGCATCTAACGTAAAAGTAAAGATAAAGTCTCCTTTGAGTACTGGCAACAAAACAATTAGTTTGCCACTGCCTTCTGCTGGAATATTTCTTAACCTTGCCTAGGGCACGAGAATTCAAAACGCTGTGCTATCCAAATACTAATGAGGTCCAATCCTGCTTAGCTTTTTTGAAGGACACCAAGGTTGATCATTATCTGCTACTCTATAAAAAGTTGAAAGAAAAACAGCAAAGAAAATCTGGCTCTACACTTTCCAATAATGTCATTAGAACGCTGCCTCAGCTCTGCAGTTCGGTTGCCTTCACATAAACAATCTTCAAGGAAGTATTAACTTGACTGGCTTATTTAAAATTGTGGATTAAAAAAAAATAGGCCAGTATGAAACACATACCTCATATTCACTCGAATTCACCATTAATGAAGGGACAAGAGAGAACAGCTCATTGAGTGTTTTTAAAATAAGCGGCCGGGTATCACAGCTCAGTTTCGGTGAGAGTGCATCCCATGTAGAGCGAATGCAAACAACCTGGAATAAAGAAACAAAAGCAGCCTTTATCATGACACAGTCTCTGTGTGTGTGTGTCTATGTGTGTGTTTAAAATGTGTTTAAAGATATACAGTATGATATATGGATTAGAAATAGCACTTACAAATTACATCTTGTAGGCTCTCATTGTAAACCAGATGTGCCATGTTTCAGATAGAAACTCAATTATTATTAAGCGACTAAAATTTAACCAAAATTAAGTACATTTTATACTGCTGATATTTACCATAGATATAATAAAGGTATTAATGAAATCCAGGTCTTTTTAGCTTCAACAGATTGGCTATATCCAATGTCTTGGGATTGAAAAGCATAAATGACATGCATATACACCATCACACAATTCCCTTTTGATTTAAGCAACATTACACAAAACACAAGTAAAAACAGTAAGCAAAAGAAATTAAAGGCACCAAATAAGAAAAATGAACACAGCCAGAACTAGTTTACATCAAAGCACTCACTCAGTGGTGGGATTCAGCCGGTTTGCACCACGTCGGCAGAATCGGTAGCTAATTTTTTGTTGCCCAGGCCTAGAATGGACTTCCGGAAGTGGCATCCACACAGAGAACCAGTTGATACATATTTGAATCCCACCACTGCACTCACTCGATACTTTTCATACTTTTTTTTATCTTGTAAACCATACTTTCCTTCCAACCCATACATTGCCTTTGCTTTGTTAACATTCTCATCTCTCTCTTTTTCAGGATCTCATCAACTACCACAAATTGCCCATTCATCCTTTTTTCATTTTTGTTTCACAATTTGATCCTCAATAATTCTATAGACCAACCCAACATTTTTTCCCCTTGCTGATTAGTCATTTTTATATCCATATTCATTCATGGCCCATTCTTGACTGTACTTCTTGTTTTCCACATTAAATATCTATCTCCTATTGAGTTGAACTTCCTTTTTGTTTCTCCTGACATACAGTATAACTCTCCCTCCCATGTAACAAAGTGAGTAAAGTGGCCAGAGCATATTGTTTATACAGAGTTTTGCTTCTTTTGATAATCATTTATACTTTCCATTAACTCCATATTGTGACACACAGTAAAATAATTATTTTATATATTCCAGGCATAAAATTTCCTTATGTCCAGTTTCCATTCATGCTATTAGATTAATCTATCTTATAATACTTTTTTAAACAGGGCTCATTTTTTCCACTTTCTGAAGTTGTTATGCTTTTAGTTTCTTTCAAATCTGACCACCTTTATTAATCTCTGTTACTTCTTTCTCTTTAATTTTTTGTCCTTCCTTCCTTCCTTCCTTCCTTCCTTCCTTCCTTCCTTCCTTCCTTCCTTCCTCTCTTTTTTCTTGTTAATTGTGTTCTGTTTTATTTAGTCCTTTTACATTCTTTGCTTCTCATATCTGTGATCAACTTGAGGCCAAAGTTAGAAAGGTGTAGACAAGGTGACCACTTTTAGCCACTCCTATGCCATATGGAATATTCCCTGCTAATGGTAAATGCAATACCAGTCTGTTTGGGTACATTTTGGCTAGCATACCATATGCACAATCAAAATCCATTTTTCTCAGGCATGTTCACATCATTCTCTGAATGGATATCTAATACAGTTATTGCCCTGCAAGACAATATACTGTTGCCTAAATCCCAATAACTAGAAGGGATAAGCAATGTAGCGCTATACACTTAGGCAGCCTATTCTAAAGAAGAATTATCAAATAATTATCATAAATTTGTCATATTTATTCATAGCTAGAAATTAGCCCTTGCCAGATCATTGTTAGAGCGATACAAAATCCCTTTGTGTAAATAGGATAAGAAAAGATCCATCAACAAAACAGCAAAATCTGGCTCACATACAATATAAAATCAATTTTGATGAAATAGTTTTTTATAGTTGAAAATACCAATTTACCATTAAGAGAAGGATATCTGAAAAAGTTCTAGTCAGAACTACAGTTTATTAACATTTTCTTAAAAAACAATAATATTAACAGTAAAAAGGTGAATCATGTCTGAAATTGTTTTCATCGCACATATTATCAAAACTGAGAGATTTTGGCAAAAACCTCTGAACAAAGTGAGCACCATCTGTCATTGGAGGTAAGGTTCTAAAGAAGCAGCTTTAGAAGAACTCAAAAGATTTGAATAAATATACCTCTAATCAACAAACTTACAAATAACAGAGGTATGCTAATGTGTTCTCCCCATTTGTGCATAAATCAACGGAGCTGTATATTCACTCATGGCAAAATTTATTACTTTTAGGCAGTCTAATTGTACTCATTACTAATTACCTGACCATTATTGACCCAGGACAAGCTACTACAATAAAAGTTGCTTCTGCTTCAACATTTTACCATGTCAGAATTCCCTATGGAATTTGCAGCCTTTAAATCCATACATTTTCAAAACTCCATATTTTGATTTAAAAGATTTTGTTTTAAAAGAAATATGCTACCATTTTATAATGACAGTGGTTTTCCAGTGTAACAAAACTGTAACTTGTGTCCATGCATGCGCCTACTTGCTTCAAAATTATAGCTTAATAAGTCAATGCTGAAGCAGTTTGTTTTCTAGATGAGCCCCCAGAGTGCTATATGAATGAAATTCAAGAAAAGCAATAATTTAGAGAGGTGTAATGCACATTTAGACTAGGCAATGCATTACTAGATGTCAAGGTGGTATTAATACCATTTATTAAGTCAACTGATTTTTAAACACAGAAATCTCAGCTCAAGTCAATAAACACAAAAAATATATATCCATCTACTGCCCAATAGAATTTTATTACATGGTCAGGACTGAAGAAGCCATGAAGCAAAGAATTAATGTGCAATCTTGGGAACAATAGATTTTTTTTTCAAGGAATGCTGTGTATGAATAAAAGACATTATCTTAGAAACATGGGGCAAGTTTTAAAAGTACTGTATTTCATGATCTATAACAGGTGTCTCCTTTTAGTATGAAATTCAGCCAAGGACAACACATACTCTTTACTATATCTAAGTACTTCCTTAGATATGATTTCAAAGGATATGACATTTTAAAATTTTGATTAGAGAAAGGCATCCACGGAGAAAAGATTTCAGCTTGAGCTATTCCCAACTGTATTGTCAACATCCTTACTAACCAGGAAGTCTAGAAGTTGTAGTTCTTACAAATCTGAAGAACATCAGAGTGGATAAAGGTGCAATTCAACATAGATGGCAAGGTAACATATAGAGGAAACAAGGACATTAATAGCTGATTCCAAAAGGTAATGTATTGTAAAAATGTTCATTTCAGTTTTATGGTTTTACTAAGAGACGTAATGTTATAGGCTAAGCTGCTAAGCAGTTTTACTTCATTTCTTTCTTCAATGTGTACACTTTGATCAAGCTAAACAGTGTTTTTTTTAAACAAAAAAAAATCAGCAATATAGCAGCAGCCCCACTTCAATATTGATGTTTCCCCATTGCCTCCCCATAAGAATGTGATTGTTAATGTATAATTTCTTGTTATTTTGTTACTAGAATTAAAATGGTGAGACTTACACTTTTTTATTACAAATGCATCATAGCAGCATCAGCTGAGAGTCAGTTCTATTTAGTTGTTAAATGCTGGCCTAAAAAGCAGGATATTATGAGGCTTAGGCCTCTCATAGGCATGAAAGCTAGGTGAGTGGCTAAGGGCTTGTTACTCTCTCTCAGTCCAACTTACTTCACAGGGTTGTGTTGTGAAGAAAGGAAGAGGCAGGAGTATTAAGTATGCTCACTGCCTTGAGTTATATATGTAAAAAAAGCAGGATAAAAATCTAATAATAATAAAACTGTAAATAGAGTAAATATTAACACTACTTTTTTCCCAAAATATTATTCCATACTAAAAGTTTCTGAAATTTTCAAGAAACATGTGTTTCATAAGTTGTCTAATATATCCTTCATCCTTTAGGCCACCTGGATAAATACTAAGTATGAACATAACTGGAAGAAATAGTTCAAGTAACCAATAATTTACATTTTTGGCCATTGAAGCTGCTTTCTCCTTTACTTTTCCCCATAAGGCATTCTCCAAGGCTGGAAGGCCCTCTCCCCCCCCCCCCCCAATCTCTGCAGGGAATAAACCATTGTAATGAAGACTTCAATGGATTTCCCTGGGGTCAGTCCATGCACAGAAATGCATAAAAGTTCCCTTCAGGAATTTCAACTTTTCAGACATTGTTATCATATCTGCAGGTTTCTGCCAGTTGCCTGCAATTATCATGAATCATTCAAGTCTACGCTGTAATGGCAGCAGAAATATTGACAGACAAGTAAAATTGGCTAGGAAAAAAAAATATCCTTCCCAAAATTAAAAGAGCAAGATGATACTAAGGGGAAGAAGACAAAGTAGTGTCTAAATTAGGGTTACACATCTGGTTTATATTCAAAATCAAGGAAGTAGATGCCAAAAACAGTTTCATAATATATACAAAATTGTAAAAAAAAAAAGCTGCAATTGCCTCTGCCAAATGGGAGAATCAAATATCTATATGGACAGATAAATGAGTTAACATTGTCCCTGGGATACTCATTTTGAAAAGATAAATGAGTTAATGAAATCACTATAGCAATATTTTATATTAGAAAAAAAAAATCAAAACGCTGGGCATCAGAATTAAACAGCCACTTTGGCGGCTGTAGAAAGACTTTAGGGGTACCATTTCATAATCAGTAACGATAAAGCTCTTAAGAACTCCTATTGAGTTAAGTCCTTTTAACGAACAGATGGATCCATGAAGACAATTCCAGTGTAACTCATGTTGACAGCTACTGAAACTTAATCTGATTATATGTTGAGTGAAAATGACACTTCTCCACCTCCACTTTAGAAAACATTGATCTCAATAACCAGATAAAACAATTCATGTGGAGAATGTATATAGGCAAAAGAGAAAATTTTAAAAAAAATCCTGAAATTGGGAAAAATTGTAAATATTTATTTACAAGCTAATTGGAAAAAATATTAATCAATGTATCGT